TCCCCTCATCATGTGCATTCCTCAAGATTTCAGCAGTGCTTTATAACTTAAATCAGTAAGCTGACTTGAGGAAATCTGCTCTCTCCATTTCCCCAAATCACCACGTGAAGTGGACTACCAAACAAGTTTAAGCCCAAATTCAACTAAAACCTGCCCGACTCCCTATTCCCTAAACGCCATCTAAATCACCACTAAGCCTTGCCCCCTTCCTCTTTCATTAACTAAGTGGCTTCCTCTATATCGCCTCTTTCTGGAATGACTTGTAGATTATGGTGCCACTCAGGCAGTGGCCTGGGGCCAGAGCACGCCAACTTCTGCAGGCATGGAGGTTTACAAGTCTCCCCTTTATGGTCTTCCTTTGCCTTCAGATGCCACGTGCAGGTGTCCTGGTACACTTTACTCTAGTTTATCCGGGTGACACAGAAGCCCTCAGTTCATCCTTAACTCATCGTTAATTTCATGGAATCATCTCCTCACATCCCTTTCTGATTCACTTGTTCCTGGTAATAAAAATCTTCCCCATCTATCTTCCTCTTCCCATCTTACTTCATGTAAGATGACTCTCATGAAAAAAGGAGCAAGAAGAACAGTGCACAGGAACAAAAAGGGTTTTCAAAACCTAGGATATCAGATCGAGCACCACCACTGATGTGTCTCAAGTGGAGCTAGAAACATGGATAGCATTGCTTAAGTGGATAAAATATGTTGGCCGACCCTACGTTCCTTATGAGACTAACATCATTCCCATGATCGCCAACCTCAAGAAGAAAATATAACTTACAAAAGCCCAGACCATACCCTGTGCCACTATCTTTAAGGTCCTGGTTTATACTCAAACTTACCAGTTAATAAAAATATAAATATATATATATATATCCATACATATATACACATTTCCATTGACAATTCCAGCCCGAGTGAAATAATCTCAATGTTTTACACTTCTTTGGAACACGTCAGTTAGTTTCATTGTCACCTGCGAAATACCCGTGACTTCTGCAACCGATCCGATATTAGCAAAGCATAATAAAAACCAGTCTCTTAGTCATATCACAAAACATATTCCTAATGTTTAAGGCGAATGCATGTGGTACAGTTAATATCTGTCTTATCTAAATTACTGTATTATTAAGCCATAATATAATGAAAATCATCATAAATCTTATATTATTCTAAACAATGTTATGCTTGAACTGAGCATCATAGCCCTGCTCTGATGCTACTTCTGTAACTTAGAATAGAAACTTGAACAAGTTTTACATATATTCCAATTTAATGTATTGCCTGTTATAACCTGAGTAAAACAATACGTACAAACTTGAAAAAATATGTAACTCTATATAAATAATGTGCTTTAGGTAATTTGAATCATTTTTATTTTAAAAAATGACTTTCCTTTATCAAATCTCAAATTACTTCAGCCTGATGTTCTTGCAGTTTAAAAATGTGGTAACTATTTTTGTTGTAATAAATAACTCACCCTGAGAAGGCAGTCAACATTACAGACCCTTTTTAATCTTAACAGGTTAAAGGAAAATAAACACAGAATGGATAATTATGTAATAACAGATAATGCCAGCCAGACCTTGCAAATGAACATTTGGCTGCAATGAGGTTCATTTGTCCTTTCATTGCAACTTTTAGAAATTTGCATTTCTAAAAAGAAATTAGACTGCTTTATACAGTAAGATCCATTTGCTTTAAAAGTTATAATTTTCAGAACAAATGAATTTTTCACTCAAGTTCTCCAAAGATCATTTTGACTGGATACATTTTACAATATTGCAATTGCCTTTTCAAGTTTTCTGGGATTCAATGTATAATTAATCTCTCTATTACAGACTGTGTCTCAAATTACACGTTTCAGCATAATGTAAGTCCCATCAATGAACTGTGTTGCTGATGACCATGTAGACCTCTGAGTCTCCAGGCTTTACCTCTACTGCAGGCTAAATTTTAAGAAAAAATTATTTTCCTTTCAGAATTTATGAAACAAAAAGAGAGAGCATTGTAGGTTTGGTTTTAAATAGAACTGGGAACCTGTGAAAAATTGTAAAGTTGTCTTACAAGAGTTTTCATACTATGACAATAGACCAAGGAAGAAAAAGATAGAAGGGAAGAAACAAGCCACCACTTACCAGGTGTGAAATTGTACCGAGCTGAGAATCCCATAGATTCCAACTCGCCATCAGCAAAAAACTTAATCCACAGAAATCTGCCACTGGATTTTATTACAGGTGGATTTTGTTGTCCACAAAAACGTCCAATTATTGGAGAAAATCCAAAAGGTCCATCTCGAACTTCAATATGATCAAATTTGCACTCCCAAGACGGTTCAATAGAGTACTTTTCATCAAAGTAAAGTTCAATGCACTGTCTTGGGGCAGCTGAAAAAAACAGGAAAGAAAAACTATGTCTAGAAGGTCCTTTTTAAAGCTGTAGTTCAATTTTTATGATTCTACTTCAGATTTTAGCTAAATACGTTTTATCAAACTTTGATCATGATTACGCATAGAAACACAAAGCAGGTTTGTTACACTTAGCAGTCTAAGAGATAACGTTTTTATAAGAGTGTCTAAGGATGATTCTTAAAACTGATGATGTTGCAAAAGATATTGTTCTGATATAAAAATGACCTTTATAGTGTCTAATACAGTCTGAACAAATCGCAGTATTTTTGTGAAAGGCTGCGAACTCAGGTTTAAAAAGTAAAGAAGCATCTTTCTGTCACTTTTCCCATATCTCTGGGAGAACCCAGTCTG